TGCAGTCCACTGAGCCCCCAGATTTTGGGTCCTTTTCTTCCATCTGTTCTACTCTGCTGCTGGAGTTGAAAAACCTCACCAGCAATGCAGAACTTTCCTTGTGAACCGAACACAGCCCCGTTGCTGTGTGTGCCCATTCTTTCCTATTTATTCCCCACTTGTCTACGTTACTGCAGAGCTATTCAGACGTGAAAACACAATGTTACTACTTGGAACAGAACTACATGTTCAGCAGCAAGATAAAGTGAGCCAGCTAGCATGTAAGCCTGGCTCATTGTTAATGAAGCAATGTTCCTAGTACATGAGATCACCTGTTTGTGACCTTCCATCGAAAGCATTGTGCTCTGAAAGGAAAATATAAGTAGCGCCGTCTGTCAAACCTGTTATACACAGGCTGTTTCACCAGGAAGAGTGACTTCCATTGAAATATGACAACTACGTCATTCTCCCTTATCCGAACCAGTGATCCCTCCCCAGTCTGGGGGCGTGAGAGAAGCAGCTCCCCCAAGAGCAGCACACAATCAGACCCTGGAATGAAATGGCAGCTGTCTGTGGAGACCAGACCAGGAGCCGGACTGACAAGCAGGTCACCCACTGCAGGTCCCAGAAACTGCCTGCACATGGTGGGGGGCACCCACCTCAGACACCTGGTTTGGGAGGAGGCGTTACCGGGCCAGAGCCTGATGGACATGCCTGGGTGACCCACTGCAAGGTTGGTTGGGACCTTCCCAACATTCGTCCTGAGCCTGGCTGTGCTTGTGGAGAGAGCCGGCTCCAGGGCTCTGGGTGCCAGCAGCCGGAGGGGAGGCAGCCCTGGAGATGGTCCCTGCAGCAGATGAGGAGGTGCCATTTTGTCTCTCTCAGACTGACCCGGAGCTCCCAGCTCCACAACAAAGAGCCTGAGCCCAAGGGCTCCGCTGCACCCGTGAGGACAGACTGCTGGCTGGGCCCCCTGCACTGAAAGCCAGGGGCCGGCCAGGACGTGTGGGTTCCATGGACCCATTCCCTCACAAAGGGAGAACTGTCGGCTTCCCAGCAAGGGACTCCAGCCCCTCTCATTGAGTTCCACCTCCACCAGCCAGCTACACCTGTGGGCACCCTCAGGCGATGGGGCATTTCCGTTCCTTTCACTTGCCGGGCCTTTGACGGTGGTTGTGTTTAATTGTTGCTGTGCAATTGGTTAGCTACTCATTTACATGCTACCCTGCTTTCTGCCCTTCCCCCTCTGTTTACCCCTAGCTTTCCTCTTTGTCTGCAGACCCTCGCCTTCCCATCTTTATAAACTGCAATGTCCTAGAGGCCCTAGGGTCTGTTAGCTCACGCACCCAGCCATTAGCTGGAGGAACTCCGTGAAAAGAAGAGCCTTCTGGCCCGAATGTGGGTCACCAACCCCCCAATGCTGGAGGAATTAGGGGCTATGCCACCCTTTGGGAGATGGGGTGCCCTAGACCGTATGTGATAAGCAGGGATTCTCTCTTTACATTCTTATTAACAAAATCAATGTACACCGTGAGGAGACAGGACTGCCCTGCCTGTAGTTCTGTGCCCCAGAGTTCTGCAGTCCCACCATGTAAGGAGCGAGTGAGATGCCCATAGCTCAGGTTGGAGCCCAGGGTATCCAAGAACCTGGGGAACAGGGAAAGGTTTCCCATCTCTCAGTCACCACCTGGGATGTCTCAAGCCCTACAGCTTTTTGGAGAGGTAATAGCTGAGCAGGTGGAGCTCTTTCTGGTCCTGTTGAATGGTCGAACAAGAAGGCAGCCACTCCCCTGAAGAGCTAGAGTGACTGGGGGCAGCCAGTGTGCTCCAAGCTGGGAGAAGCAGGTCAGCTGGCCTCTCTGAAGATGCTGGAAGGGCCTAGGACTTTGCCAGGAGATATGTGAAGGAAAATGTTGGGGTCCAGAGCCCATTGGGTAAAAGGAGAGTGTGACAGTCTGTCCCCTTATGGTCACTCTTTTTGCAAGACTATGGTCAATTTTGTACCCAGTGCCTTGTGAGGTATCATTTGAAAACTCATAATTTGCTGGTCATGATTGTCCTGGTAAAATATGTGTGGCAACATTGCAAGTAAAGTTATAAAATTCTACTGTGTGATTTTATTGAGACATGCTCCAAGTGTAGCAATGCAGCACAAACCAGTTCCTCAGAGATAAAAGGCAAGCGGATGCCTCCGCCAGGTGTCAGCAAAATCAAATGAGCCATCATCTGGTTAAGCAGCCATTCTTTGGCAGGAAGAAGCGTTTGAGTGAGACATTTACATCTTGGCAATGGAACAACTGGAGGTTCCCATGTAAACAGACTGGCTGTTGCCTGAACCCTAGCTGGAGATAATTCTCAAAGAGGAGGAAAAGATATAAAAATGAGGAGCAGAGGCCTCCAATTACCTCTCTCCCCTCATCTCTACTCATGGCATCAACAATGTTTGAAAGACAAAGAAAGCATCACTGAACTGGAGGAGGAGTCCTGGCAGAAAGGCACCCAGCCAGCCAGTAAGACTGCAAAAGAGCATGTGGTGAGAGAGAGAGAGAGACCCTTCTGAGTTGAATTCACTTAGCTTGATAAGTTAGGAATTAGTTTGTGTTTTACCTTTTATTTCTTTGTAACCAATTCTGACTTTTATGTCCCATTACTTGTAATCACTTAAAATCTATCTTTCTGTAGTTAATAAACATGTTTTATTGTTTTATCTAAATCAGTGCATGTTTGAATTGAAGTGTTTGGGAAACTTCATTTGAGATAACAAGATGTGTGCCTATCATTTTCTATTAATGACATGATAATCTTTACATGAGCTTGTGTCGCCCAGGAGGCGTGGGCAGTACAAGCTGCACATTTCTGGGGGAATGTCTGGGACTGGGAATTTGCTGGTGTCAATGTAATTCAAGGGTGGCTGGCTGAATCACTCTTGCACTACAGCGGGTGTAATTTACATGCTGCAGTCTGTGCGGGAGCAGACCAGGAGTGGTTGCTCTCACAGTGAAGCAGTGTAAAAGGCACCCCAGGCTGGAGAACTGAGGGGACCCAGCTGTTCAACAGGCCAGATTGTGCCCTGGGAAATGTCACAGAGAGGATGGGGAAAGTCAGCAGTTTTGCATGGTGCTGGAAGTAGTGAGTTTAGTGTGAGCACCTGGTGAGCACAATGTCACCCCACTGCTCCCCACAGCGGGGGAGAACGGTCAGGCCTCTCATCGCTTTTCTGGCGCTGAAGGTTTCACCTTTTTTCCATCATCTTCTTTTACTTATTATTCTACAGCACCTAAAAGTCTGCATAGCACCTCGTGGTCCAATTTAATCACACAGGGCTCCTGCCTCAATAGTTTTCAACAAGACAATGGGATAGTGGCTCTTGGGGGACAACCAGCCAGTGGCCACAGCCGCATGCTGACATGGTTACTAAGGAGACCCCCACAGCACGATTGCAATTTTTGGGGGCGTTTTTAAAAATATATTAAATAAGTGTCATAAAATAAAAGCCCGCTGACGCAATTCCCTGCTCTCCAATGGGCTTCCTGTGTGACGGGGGGCAACTCACTTCGGCTCAGGTTCACAAAAGTACTTAGGTGCCTACGTCCCAGTTTTAAGCTCCACTGAGATGCACAAAACTCCTTCTGAGCCCTGTAGGCCCTAAACTCACTTGGCACCTACATTTTTTGCAGTAAAATTTCCCTCGGCAAGTATGTTTCTGCCTGCGGTCATGCAGACGGCTGCCTCCCTCTAGGCGTCTAAGCCCCAGAGCAATTCGCGAACCAGGGAAAATAGGTGTACAGCTGCCACGGTCACATGCAGGGCCAGATCCAGGAGATGCCCTCGGAGCACACCTACCCGCTCAGGCCCCTCAGGCGAGTTCACACAAAGCAGCCAGATGGGGAGGGGCCCGCCCACATAATTTTTAGCCCAGTACTCACCTGGGATGTGGGTGACCTCCAGTTCAACTCCCCTCTCTGCCCTAACCACTGAGCTATGGGATATTCTGAAGGCAACCTTCCGCAGTCTTTCCCATTGATTGCACACTGCATCAATAATTAAAGACTCATTGGAGCAAGGGGCCGGACCCTGGATGAGCGCTCTAACCACTAGGCTATAGTATTCTATCCCCTGTGTGCTCTGTCTCTGGCCCAAATGACTCTCTCCTTGTTCATCCAGTGTAACCGTTTCAACAGGAGAGACTGAGGGAGGCCCCAGAGCCCCGTGGTTAGAGCACATTCCGAAGCCGTAGGATACACCTGTTCAAATCCCGTCTCCCCCTCAGGGGGAGGGGGACTTTGAACTGAGGCGGGGTCGCTCAGAGCCTCGGTGAGTAGCCTGACCACTAGGCTACAAGTTAGGAGGGAGCCTCTGCCTTCCCAGCAAAACCTGCACCAGCACCTAGCACCAGAGTGCCCAGCTGTGTCTCGCTAGCAAAGACAGGTGCATAGCCCTCTGAGAGGGGCAGGGCTTAGCACACACCCCTTTCATCAGCCTCTCCGACTGGCTAACTTCGATGGCTCCCTACCCAGCGGGCTGCATGGTGGATCACAGTCCACGGCGCCTCTCCCCACTCGTGGGCTAGGGAGCCTGGGCACCACACTCAGGCTGTGTGAATTGCAGGGAATTTCCAGGTGCTTGACTCCTTTTGTGCAGCACGGCCTTCGCCTCTCTGGACCTTAGTTCTCCTCCTGTCCAAGGCATTACGGTAATAGGAGTCAAGGGAGGATTTCAGGCAGTTGGCAGTGGCGTGTTTGAAGGCTGATAGAAAGGAAGCAGATGAGGAAGAGAAAGTAGGAATGAGGAGAATCAGGGAAGGTGCGCAGGAAGTGGGCAAGGACAGAGTCCAGTGGGACAGACTGAGGGGTTCCAGAGGAGAGAGAAGTCAGCCAGTCTCCAGGAGGAGAAAGAACGCTGCTTGGAAAGACGTGAAGGAGGAGGGGACTCAGGCCATTTCCTGCAGAATCTGCATTTGTTGGATGTTCTATTTCTGCAACAATGGTCGCGCTTAAAAAAACCAAACCACACACAGATGCCAGAATGCAAGAAGTAATCATTTTTATAGTGAATGCCACCAAAATGTGAGTCAAACTATGTGATGGAAACATTACAGCCAATTACATAGTATAAAAATAGGACACTAAAATTCAAAAATAATAGTCAGAGTACCACACAGTTTGGGATAGCAGCATCCAATATCCTACAGCAACCCAGCTTCCGCGCCAGACAGCAAGGGCACGGGGGAACACACACGGGAAGTGGTTTCTAGCTACATTTCCATGACACACAGAGACCTTGGCCTGGGGCAGCACAGGTTGACAGCTTTCCAGGGTTATGTACGTATTTGACAGTGTCGATCAGAGATGCTGAGCATGGGGACATCCAGAATCCGAGCCCTGACAGACGGCTCCGCATGTGTGTGTAGATATCAGAGCCTGTTGTTCCCAGATGCCTGAGGCTCAAGAAATGCCATGGTTTCGGGGGGATTCATCTGTGCTGTTGCCCAGGCATTCGTATGAAGAGAGGTAGAACAAGAACACTGCGCTGGGGCTAGTTCTTTATGTGTAAGGACCCCATGTAACGACAGCTTCTGATTGCCTAGGGCTCGGCCTCGGTAAACAGCCAAGGAGTTCGTGCCCAATGTCTCCTGAAAAGAGGCCCAAAGACACTCATGCAAGGGAAGGAGCCGAGGGAGCAGTAACACCTTGGGCCGGGTCTCTGGTTTATGGGAACACGCCGCCTCACATCCCCCTGAGCACAGGAATTACCAACTTTCAGGCTTTGGGGGAGCTGGGCAGATCGTTACCCTGGGAGATGACAGACGCCAGGGCCCACCGAAGGAAGCCATTTTCAAGCCCTCTGCACCCAATGTGCCTTTAAAAATCTGGACCCGATTGCCGGTACTGAGCCCTTTTGAAAATTCTGGCCTGAGTGCTCACTTAAAACCCGGGGGGTTCCAACTCATGGCCCCCCGGACAACCGTGCTAAAGAGAGAATATGTATTTGATTCTGAGCTGACAGCAAAGCCCTGGGCCACGGGGGAATCAGCCCCGTTGATGCAGGAAGAAACTGGGGGGCGCCACCTCCAAAACAACCTCCCCTGCATCCCAGGAGTGCGCAGAACAGCTGCTGCCCCTTCCCTGCTACAACTGCTCAGTACTGCCTCCCTGACCTCCATCTGCACCACAGGGGAGGGAGCAGCACGGCTCTGGCTGCTTTGCTGCCAGGCTGTAGGAGCTTCAAGGAGGGCCGGAACGGAGCTTGACTGGCTCCGGTGAGCGTAGGGAAGCCCCTAGCACAGGATGGCTTTCCTCCCCAACAGCCATCCAGGTCACCCCAGGTGCGAGAAAAGGAGAAGTTGAGAACTAGCTCTGGCCCCTGGATCTCTGCCCCAGCACAAACAAGAGCAGCATTAGATGGAGATGGGTAGAGTGCCGTGCACTCCAGCCACCCCCACCCCACCTCTATAGCCCAATGCCGCCTATACCAAGGGCTGGAGATGTCAGAGCTAAATGCACTGGCTCTACGCTCACAGCTGGGGACTCTTTCATACCCAGGGAATCCCTAACAGGAGGCAGGTGTGGGGTTTCTGGTTCCCTTGCCAGCCTGGGTAGCACAAAGGGCGGGGAGTAGGGCAGAGAATCTGCAAAGCATCGGCTGTGACCCCTGCCTGCAGGCTGAGGATGTTGGACTGTTTTAAACTGATCGTTATCCCCAGGCTCTTGACAACATGACATTGCAGTGTGACCGAGATTTAAGCTACGTGCTGCTCTTGAGCTCTATCTCATAGAGCTGGAAGGGACCCTGAATGGTCATCGAGTCCAGCCCCCTGCCTTCACTAGCAGGATTTTGCCCCAGATCCTTAAGTGGCCCCCTCGAGAATTGAACTCACAACCCTGGGTGCAGCAGGCAGCCTATAGTGATTAAGACAGGAGATTAACGGTCAGGATAACTGGTTCTGTTCCCAGGTGCAGCAATGACTCTCTGGGCAAGTCACTGCCGCCCTGTGCCTCAGTTTCTTCCCCTGTAAAGCAGGGATAATACCCACCCGCCTTTGTAAAGCACTGGGGGGTGGGGGGAAGCGCGCTCTGGTAACAGGAAGGATGTGAATGCACTTGTGATCGCAGACACCGAATTAGCACTGAAGAGGGGCCCAGACCGAACATCCATGATGGGAATATCAAGAGGAGACAGCCACTAGCCTGAAGAGCAGGATCCTCCCAGACCTCCAGAATATTCATGTGGTGAGACGTGGGCAGGTCCTCCCCTGGGATGCTTGTCAAGTGACAGCTGAAGGCCTCTCCTCCCAGGCATTTCAATGAGATGGGCACCGAGACCTCACCCACACAGGTTCTTCCCCTTCTAACTGCAGGAGTCCCAGCACATCAGAACAGCCAGGAAGAGCTGTTTGCAGAGAGCACTGGTTTTACATAGCACAGGGCAGCTCCATTACTGGGGGCGGGGGGCGGACACCCGATGCTAATTTAGCACAAAATCATTCTTTAATAGACAAAGTAAATCAGAAAAAGGCAACGTTGCTGTGCTGGTGCTGAAACGTACAATTGTGAGACGCGCCAGAGAGCTGCAGAGCCAGGGGACCTCGGGGGTGACATTTCCAGGGATCAGCTTTCAGCGCAGTTTGAAAAAACCCCGTGCAGAGAGATTATCTCCACACTGATCTGGATTGTCTCGTTCAGCTTTGGCCCTCGGCCTAGCTGGACAACGAGCAGAAAAGTTGGCCAACGTCCTGAGGTCAGCGGCCCCCACTGCATTAGCTGGGAAATAGTATAAAGAATCTTCAAGGCACTTGAAAACTCACAGTCTTAACACACTGGAGCCCAGAGAATTGAGGCAGCAGCTTGACATGGGAGTTAAAGCCCAGATACCTGCAAAAGGTGATTTAATATCATAGTATATGTAAACCAACGCGGTGCAGAACAGAAATCACTCCCGCAGCGCAGGACGGAGCTGGTGTTGCTCAAGTTAATAGCTCCTGTTTCGATCAGAGTGAATGAACTGGTGCAAGAAGTGCTGCATTCCAGGTTGGAAGGGGCTTGAGTCCACCAGGTGAAGTTTCTTCTTGGCCTTTAGGAGGCCTGCACTTACTGGGGGATGGCAATGGAGCTGCAGTCTGCTGCTTAGCCCTTCCGCAGGGCACTGAAGCAATTTGCGGTTACAAGACAAACCAAGAAGTTCCAGGGGAGTCGGCTGAAGGGAGAAGCGATCTTCTGCCCCACTGGTGGCTTCACTCCGTGGGATCCTTTCTTGTCCCACATTGCACAGAAAGCGGAAGTGTAGCGTGCCGAACGAGCAGGGGCCCATTCTGGGCACACGGTTCAGCCTCCGGAGGAGCATCTGCTGCTGCGCCGAGTCAGTTGTCAGAAAAGTTCCAGCCGGACGGTGTCTGGAGTCCTTCCAACGACCACAGCCGCTCCCCCGTCCCATCACTGCCACAGCACAGACGGGATTTCTTGTGTGTCTGCCTTTCCCTCTAACCTTTCCCCTCGCCTCTTCTTTAAGGGGAAGAAGAGGGAAAAAATATAGGCCTAAGGTCTGCATGGATTCAGCTCTTAAACCTCTGTCTCGGTCTTAAAGAGAATGGATCACGGGCAAGCAGAAGAGTCCGGGCTTTTCTGGATTGGGAACGACAGTCGAGATGGAGGGTTGGCACCATCAGCACACAGAGTTTTCCACTCAGCTAGCAGGAGAGGAGCTGTTAGCAAGTGACAGGGTCCTGCTTTGGTCTCTGCCAACAGCAGATTCCTCTCTCACCTGGAGGCGTGATTTTGGAGATTAACCTGCCTTTTCCACCTTTTCCTTCTGCACATCACGAGGTGAGAGGGAGAGTGTTTCATGTGCCACCTCCCCTCAGTGCCCCACGGCTTATTAATTCTCCAAATATTTCACTCTGTCGAGCAGCAGCAAGGGCTCTGTACGACCCTCATCCTGGGAGGAAGGGGAGAGAGCGTAGCTGAACAGGGCACTAGCCAGCCCGGCTGCAAGGTGAAGGCTGAGGGGAGGAGGAGCGTTCAGGTCTCTGCCTTAAGAAAAGCTGAGCCTCTGGTGTGTTCATTTCCGGATGTTGTTTGTAAAGCAAATGGTGGCCAGTAAGGATAGCCCAGTGCCCCTCGTCCCCTCTGCAGCGCCTGCGTTTAGGGCTGGACAGCAGCAGTAGGCAAAGGCCAATATACATGTAGTACTCCAGCACCGTTTCCCCCTCCTCGGAAATCACTCCACCCCCCTACGAACCAAAGGCTGAGAATGGATATGGTTCTGGCCACATCGAACACATCCAGATTCCTCTTTCCACAGAGTCCGCATGAGAGAGGCCGGGGAGAATGGGCCCCTCGGGGAGCAGAGACAGAGAGAGTGACGGGGGAGGCCAGGTCTCTGAGACCCTGCAGACCGGGACCGGGGATGCAGATGCAGCATTTGGAAAAACTGAAGAAATCTCAAGTGACTTCCTGCTAAAAGGCTGGGGCAGATGCTGACCCCTATAAGGCCCCATTATGCTGCTCTGGTGTTGGAAAGGGATAGAAACGGCCCCCAGGGAATAGCTCCAGCGTAGCTGGGCCGTATCCTTCCCCCAGCACAGCCCTCAGTGCACAGCGCTGGGGAACCGCCCCAGGAGGATGGTTACTGGGGGTATGAGAGCGTAGCAGCAGCAGCTGCCTCCAGCTAGGCTGGCAGCAAAGCAGCCCCTGGAGCTGCTCCAACCTGGCTCCCGCAGCACCCAGAACCCGGGAGGCATAAAGGTCCCTTTGCAGACAATTGGTCCAGGCCGCAGTTTCTGTGCTGCAGCGCCGTGTGACCCCAGCAGATACACATGGGCTTCAGGATCAGCTGTCTGGGGGCATCTCAGGGGTGTGGGGGGAAACTGCCCTGGAAGGAGCAGCGGAGGGGAGGCCAACGCTGCTGGGGTCAGGCCAGGGCCCCCTGAGAGGCAATGCGTTTTTGGGGGGGAAGAGGCCAGCGCTGCTTGGGTCAGGTCAGGGCCCCGTGGCAAAGGTTGGGGGGAGGGGCTGGAGCCCCATGGCAAAGGCTGGGGGGAGGGGCTGCTCCTGCTGGGGTCAGGCCTGATCTGTGGGGTAATGGGTGGGGGTGGGGCTAGGAGCCCTCTGTGGTTTCCAGGCTGTGGAGGAGGAGCAGAGGCCGGTGTGAAGCAGAGGGCGTGGGGAGGGGTGGACGTGGCTGGGCTCAGGACCCAGCTTTGCTGGGAAGGGGAGTGGGGAGAGGAGCCCAGGGTGGTTAATAGGCTGGGCAGGAGCCCACAGTGTGGCAAAGGCTGTAAGAGGAAAGGCAGCCCCAGGTACATGTGGGGTGGGGGCTGTGGGTTGGCCGGCAGCCAGAGGAGCTCTGACAGCTGAGGTCGGGAGCCCAGGAGGCACCACGGTTGCAGTGGACTAGGCGGGGGCTCGGCGGCAGGAAACGTGCAAGGCCTGGGGTGAAGCTTGCACCAGTGTTGGAGAGGCCGGGCTCAGGGCTTTGCTGTGGTGAAGGCTACGGAGGGGGTGGGGGGCCTGGGAAGCGCTCAGGGACTTACTCATCAGCCCGATTATTTTTTCTTTTATTTCTAAGTAAGAGGCTGCTACCACAACAGGCATCAGCTGGGAATGGGAAGAGATGACAGGCCGTCAGCCTCCCAGGGCGGTTGGAGCTGAACAGCACGAGTGGATATGGGCTCATGGCACCGGGGGCTGTTGGTGAAGCAGATTCCACCTTCGATGAAAGAGTTTCTGTGCAGTTGGGTCTCTGTTCTCCTGACTCCTGCTTCCGTGGTGGACAGCGTCCCTCACCGCTTCCAGTGGCTTGGACCCAAAGGGAGAACCCTACCGCATAACAACACGAAGAAGAAGCCAGGGGCTTGGAACCAGACCACTAGTTTTGTCCTTCCCCACATTTTAACTTCTGCACAAAGATCTCTGGTCTGCGGAATCAGCTGGTCCCAGCAGCTCAGTTCCTGGCAACAGCACAATCCCCAGGGCAGCTTGGGACGCTCCGCGGGCTCTGCCCTCTCTCTTCTCCTGGCACGTGGTACGGAACCAGCCAATATGAGAACAGACTCCGGGAGCCTCAGGCCAGGCCTGCGGTTTGTTGTGAGTCTGAAGTAGCTGTAATATAAAAGACCAATATAAAAGTGCCTAACGCTAGGTTTTGTTTCAGTTTAAAATCTACGCGGACCGAAATGCTCCATTGGTCAGTCAGTGGGAGTTCGTCTGACGGGGGCAGGTTCTTGGGGGCGGGCGCCACAAAGCCCCCTTGCCTGGCCCCAGCCCAGCAGCAGCATCGAGCGCATGTGCGACCCTTCCAGCACATGCAGATCAGGAGGGCTCTGGCTTCGGCAATAAATAAAGGCAAAAATACAACAATCACTTTTGGAACTTTAAATATCTTTCTCTTGCACTCGGTGTCTCTTTACACAACCCTCTCCTTGAGGTGTCCGGATCACCTCCTCCAGTCCTGGGGCAACAGGCAGGGGAGAGGAAGGGTCAGTTATAGAGGGGACGGACATCCCGGCATCACCGGCACGTATGCATTTCTACCACTCGGTGGCACTGTTTACATTTGACAAAGCAGCACCAGTGGAACTTGCAACTGCACCTTTCCACCACCTCCACTTCGTCTGTGTGAAAGCCCCTCCCACAGCACATAAGCTCACAGCCATCAATAGCTTTGGAAGTCTTGTTGCATTGCCGGCCACTGGTCCCCAGGACCCCATTCTTTAGGTCATGGTCACAGAAGTCCGGGCTGGAGTCCAGGTAGACCAGGTCCTCATCCGTGTGTGGTTTGAACTGGGAGTTTTTTGGCACCAGGACTTTGGTGGAGCCGATCTTTCTCTGCTCAACTTCTGTGGCCCCATCAAATTTCTCCTTTAACATGTTGCCCACTTTGCGGAAGGGAGGCATTGCTTTCCAACAGGTCTTCACCTCGCACGAGCCTGACACACCATGGCATTTGCACTCTACCCGCATGTTGTTCAGGATAGCCTGAAAGAGCACACAAAGAGAGAGCTGTCAGCTGCCTGCAGGAGGCACCCGCACCCAGACCCATTAGTACACCCCATGCAGCACGGCAGGAAGACCAGGAAGTGTGACCTAGCGCAACAGTGAATGGAGGGGCCTGCTGCAGGTGAAGAGACAACAGTGAGCAGTGAAGTGCAGGAGCCAGGAGGATTGTCAGAAGAAGGGAAATGGAGCTTGGGCAGTGGCCACTGGCCCAAGTCTGGCAGCTGCCCTGGTGTTCTGAGGAGCTATTACCTTCCTTCCAGCCTCGTTATTATGGAGGTTCATGAGCGCCCTGCTGGAGGAGGCGCCTTTACTTCTCTCCCGGACATCAACGAAAGACTGTGAGAAGGCCACTCCGTAGGCGATGTTATCGGAACAGCCAGACCACTGGAAGCCTAAAGTACAGCGGGGATTGGAGAGAGTGATTTGCAGCAGAAATGAGGGCGAGGCAGAGCTGGAGGACAGGACAACCAGTCGGCTCCTCGGCCTGTCCTCTCCCTCTCCGATCCCCACAGTCTAGCTACAGAGGAGCTGGCCACTTCCTGTTTCTCCCTCCAAAGGTCTGTTTCCTTTGAGTTCACACTGGACAGCTGCTGTCACCTCCTGCCTCGTGTCTAGTGAAAGGACTTCATGAGCCAGAGCTGCTACCGTCAAGGGCAGCTCCAGAACTAGGACTCTGCCATCTGGGACCTTCTAGGGAAGGGAAATAAGCCACCCCCCTCCCCAGAATGGCTGGGGCTCTTTGGAAACAAAGGGAAAAAATTGCTCAGAGGCAAATTGTGAAGCCGTAACCTGCGACACGAAGCTAATCTCCGATTTTGACCTCCTGTGGGGCTGGTCTGCCATGCTGCCTGCTGGACTGCAGCCTTCCCCTAAGTCCCACTGGTCCCTGGATTCTGCCGGCTGCGCGGTGAGCACTCCGGCTAGCCTCGCACAGCGCTGAGCCTACAGACGCTGACTGCCCTGCAGGGCGGAGGAGTCACTCAGCCGAAAGGCGCCTGCAGGGCTTGGTAGTGTGTTCAGCAGTATGTAGGGATTCTCCCAGGGTGCACCAGGCTGTGCCCAGTCAGAGCTAACAATGGCAGTGTGGTAGGCACACACTCAGACACACCTGGAAAGATCGGCAATGCAGCAGGAGCGCTTTACCCAGGCACACCTGGGACCCTGGGCCGTGGGGCGGCGGCACTCTCCAGAGAAAACCATCCAAAAAAAACGTGGAAGCTGCCTGGGAGCCTTTGTGTGCCTGAACAGCTGGACAAATGGGTGACCTGCCCACCTGTCCCGTCTGAAAGAGACATGCAGGGAGTGATTGGGGAAGGGATCCTTTCTGTTCCTTTGTCCTTATTCTTCCTCTCTCTTCTCTAGTTGGCAGGCACAAGCCCAGCGGATCTTGTGCAATCCTGTGCTTAGCCTAGAGAAGACCTCTAGCAGCCATCTGGCACCTCCACTCTTGCCCTCCCGTATCGTACTCCTGTAAGGACTTACCCTGAGGACTGACACCATGCACAGTCCGATCACAGCCACACTTCTCCAGCTCTCCACTACTGCAGGCTCGAGTCACTGCAAAGGCCACCCCCGCGGAGGAGATGGCATACACAAAAGCTGCTTCCCGTGTCCCTGGAATGACAGAAGTTGCAGTGGGGAATCGTTTCAAATTCACACGCACAGCCGAGGGCAGAGGTGCCCAGGCCCACACACTCGCATGTGTGTGTCAGACGGATGCCACTGCCTGATCCAGACCCACCCCCCCACGTGCAGTTGTGTGGCACAGAGGAGTCCTGCATGCTACCCACCTGACACAGAGATCCTGGCAATCAGCTCCTCCCAATCGAAAGCCTGGCACTCAGAACCTCCTATCATCACATGCCCCATCCAGAACACATGTACCTAGAACCTACCTACAGATCCCCTATCTCACAAGGCCACACAATACCCTGATCCTACGGGCAGAAATTTCTGCACGTACCCAATACGCATACTATGCAGAACCCAGCACGGAGAGCCATGGATCCCGAGTCCCCCCATCCTCATGCAGAACACGGCACAGGGAGTCTCACACCTCATCCCCTCCCAAGCACACCACCCCACAGCCTGAGACCCAGCACAGAAACCCCTTCCAAAGAACGCTTTCCAGAAACCCGCAGAGAGACTTTTCTGGACAAAACCACAAATGCAGACGTTGTATGCAGACCCCTTCCCTCTCACCCCAAGTCTGGGGCAGAGAACCCCCCCCTCAGAGCCCCTCACACAGCAACCCAGCACAGAACTTTCCTGCAGTCCAAACCCTGCACAGAAAACCCTATAGCTGGAGACCCTGATGCAGTCCCAAGAAATTCTACTTCATCCTACAACTAATTTTTATTATTAATCATTTGGAACCTGCTGTTTGGGGCCCAGAAACAAACAATTAAACCAGCTTAAGTTGACCGTGAGAATCAAAGCGAAGGGGCATATCATTAAAATGGTGAGAGCTCTCCCCAGCCCTTTGTACCCAGCCTCCCAGAGGAGATCAAACAGAACCACCCCACCCCTGCAACCTGTCCCCAACAGCCCTTTGAGAGCAGCCCCACACCCTGAACAGTCCCGCAGAACCTCCAGGGCCCGGTTCTCCACTGAACTAAGAAGCAGTGAGAAAGGGGCCGTAGTACAGTGCCTAGCACAAGGAGTCTTGGTCCGTGATGGAGGCACTTCGGTGCTATGACAGGGCAAATAAATAATAATCAGGCAGCGGCTCTCTTCCCCATGGAATGAAGACGTGCATAGCGGGGCTCTTTGCCCGAATGGCTCTGGTAAAATCCCCTTCCAGTCCACGCTGTAAAGGAAGTTCTGGGAGCTGAGTTGAATCATAGAAGATTAGGGTTGGAAGAGACCTCAGGAGGTCATCTAGTCCAACCCCCAGCTCAAAGCAGGACCAACCCCAACTCAATCATCCCAGCCAGGGCTTTTTGAAGCACTGCTATGGTCCAGCTAACATGACACAGGAAGCTCATGGGGAAGTTAAAGCAACCCTGAGGGTGCTCTAGCTTTGCAAGGTCTAGCCAAGCCCCCAGACAGGCCTAGAACACCAAGCCCACCGCTGCCTACCCTCCACCCACCCCTGCACTGAGTGCATCTCAGCCAGAATCCAGCCTCCATCCTCACCTAGAGCCCTCACACCCAAACCATTTCCTCCCAGATTGAATCCCACACCCAGGAAACCCCACATGGAGCTGCCCCTGGAGCCTAAGAAGCTTCCCTCTGCCTTAACAGCTCTAAGCAGAATCCTATATTAGCCTGCGCACCCCATCCCCAAAACCAACCTGCAAAATCCTTCTCACGTTGCTCTGCTCCAGAACCCTGCCCCACTCTCGGAATCCTACCCCTCCGTCAGCTGGGGACAGAGCCCCTTTCACGCTGCTTGTTATGGTTACCAGAGCGGTTACTGCACATTGAGGAAGCAGTTGTTGGGAACTTCAAACCTCTACGAGGGAGAGCGCAAACATGCAGGACACATGGCCAGGTTTCGGCTGGCCGGCCGGCTGTGCCAGCAGAGACTGGCCTGCGTGAAAGCAGAGCTACAGTAAAGCTACAAAAGAAGAGGGAGCTTTGCAAAGGTGCATATAAAGGGTGTGCCCATGTCTGTGTGTGTGTTTCTCTCTCACTGATAGTGTCTCTCTGCATGTGTGTGAGGATTGTGGGTTTAGTGGTCATCAATTAAATCTTGCAACACCCAATTCCCTGGCTCCTGTCACGCTCTGAAGCCAACGCGGCTGGGACGCCACAGGCCCTTCTGTCTCAGAACATGTGCTGTAGACTGAAGGGATCAGCATTTAAAGTCCAGGCTGTGCTACTTGGAAGCTCAGGGCAAGAGGCCCCAGAGTCACTTCAATGGCAGCTGAAGCATACCATTGTGAACAGAGATCTGCCCTTCACCTCTCGGGCGCTTGCTCACAACTGACTGGTCAGACAAAGGGGAGCAACTTTGGTGGTCGCAGCTCAGATTGGTGGCCAAGGCTGTAATCTGGCCTGGGCGGCAGTGGCTGGTTAGGACCCAGCCAGCATGGGACTGAATCACCTCCAAGTTAATCGAGGTTAATAGTAGGATCATGTTGGTCGGTTTGTGCTGTGGCTGCCTAAAAAGAGACGACTTCAGTTTCTGGTATTTCTGGTATTTCCAGTCCTGAACCTTCACAAGCACAAATCTTCACCCCCAGGCCGAGAGAAGGAAAGTTAAATAAGGAGTTGAGGCTGGACTGGGGGAGGCTGGGGCCTGCAGGTCCTGGTAGGTCAGAGCAGAGAGTGCCCAGAGCTTCAGAGAAGAGGGAACAGCTGGAGTCACACCAGAGAAGGGGACACCCAGGAGCTAATCTAACCCACAGAGCAATTAGACAGAGGAAAGGGGGTCAGAGTGGAGATGCCTCTGGTCACTAGTTTGCCAGGAGAGAGGGAGATCTGAGCAAGGGGAAGTCACTGCAGCTCCCTCTGCCATATAAATTAGTGCTGCCTTCAGGAAAGAACAACGGGGCTCCAGAAACAGGCCTCATGCTACCAGCCACAGAGAAAACTCATCACTCCTCCCGAGCTCTTCCAAAGTGCATCTGCTCTGCCCTGTACCCTCCTGCTGTTCTAGTCCTGGTCATAGGCGCCGCCTCTGCGGGTGCTCTGGGGCTCGAGCACCCATGGAAAAAAACGAATGGGTGCTCAGCTAATTGGGAGCACCACCAAACAGCTGTTTGGCGGCTTGGGGAGGGGTTTGGGGGAGGGCGGAGAGCAGCGAGCAGGCAGGGGCCTCGGGGAGGGGACGGGAAGAGGTGGAGCGAAGGTGGGGTCTTGGAGGAGGGGGCGGATCAAGGGCAGGGCCTCGGGTGAGGGGACGGAGCAAGGATGGGAAAGAGTCGGAGGGAAGGCGGGACCTTGGGGGAAGGGGCAGAGCACCCCGGGGGAAATAAAAGTCAGCGCTTATGGTCCTGGCCACCCCGAGCTCTGCCAATGCATCTCCATACTGACGCGCCTCCACGCTATTCTAGTCCCCCTCAGCTCTACAAATACATCTGAATCCTTACCCGGCGCTCTGCCCCACCCGCCCCTGCGCCCTCCCTGTTCTACAACCCGCCTGGGGCTCGTTCCCTTTGGTCACAGTGCTGTCAGGAAGTTAGCACAGGGCTCGCAGACGGTTACACTGTAGGAGGCTGGGGTAGTCCACGCCAGAGATCATTTCATTCAGATGGATGGTTCTGAGTCTCTAGAAGAACAGGAGTCTCTGTAGTTGGAAGGGTGAGAGCCAGAGCCGGCATAGCAGCGTGCAGAGAGCGATGAGTGTTTTACGGCTTTTGGGCAGCAGAGGGCATCGTCCCCAGGTCTCACCCCCAGCCTGCTTCACCCAGGAGTAAGGAACGGTCCAGCCGTGCTCGCTGACAGGCCTAGCTCACGGCTTGTTCGCTGACCAGAGAAGAGACTGGCAGAGGGCGGCTCTGCAGCACGGGCACGGAAATTGGGGTTCGCAGCAGAAATGCAGACAGCAGCTAAGGAACTGGGCCAGGTTAAAAATAGCCCCAACGAACCTTCCTGTACAGCGTGTCTGGGAGTCACAGGACCAGGAGGTACCACATGCTTTACTACCACTCTGTCTACATCCTCCACAGCTTCCCGTGGCCCTCCACAGCCCACTGAGCCAGTCCAGGAGCCGCAAACAGCGACCGTGCCAGAATCCCATGGCTGCACTCCTTGGTAGTCCCGGTGATGGCTACTTGCCATCTCCAACCCCCAACTGCTCGCCACCAACCCCCAGCAAAACAGAGCTGAGCCTGTCTGTTGGGAGAGCAGCACATTACCGTTCTATAAACGGGTGCGTGGCATTTCTGGCTGAAGCGAAACGATAGCATCGGGCCGTCTCCTGCCCTTCATCACGTGGTAGCTCTGATGCTGCCAAATAAATCGGACTCCACGCTGGAGTACTGGTGTGCACACGCTGCATGGGTCTACAACGGTGGTTCTCAAACTTTTGTACTGTGACTCCTTTTGCATAGCAAGCCTCTGATTGCGACACCCCCCCCAAATTAAAAACACTTTTTATATATTTAACACCATTATAAATGCTGGAGGCAAAGTGGGGTTTGGGGTGGAGGCTGACAGCTCGCAACCCCCCATGTAATGACCTCATGACCCCCTGAGGGGTCCCAATCCCCAGTTTGAGAACCCCGGGTCTACAAGATGCAGCCGTTTCCCCCAAGTTCTGCCTCTGTCTGCGTCACGGCTGTGGCCCCAGCTGGATGCTCGTTATCTCCCACCTGGAGGCTCATGCCTCAGTTCAGTTCACTCCCTTGCCCAGAAGGGCACACGCCTCTGGCCAGTTCGCTCACCTTGTGTCACTACCTTGCCAAAGACCGGCAGGGTGTCCAGTGTGGAGCAGTTCCAGCGACGGTTACGGAATTGGTACTGGCACTCCTCGATGGCCAGCTGGGCTCCCCGGCGCACCGAGTCCATCACCTCCAAGTTTCTCTTGCACATCTGCACTTGGCGCTGGATTAACCCTTTCAGCTTCTCACAGGTCTCTTCCTCGGAAATACTCCCCACGGAGGACAGCTTTGCCAGGTACCTGTCAGCACACCCAGCAACATCTGTTAGAAAGGTTTGTAGCGCAGGAGAAAGAACTGTCCCAGCCTCTCCCGGGGGAACGCTGCCCCTTCATTTCCCTCCCCAGGCAGCTGTTTGGATATCAGGGACTGCCTTGGGCACAGACCCCTGCACTCCCGAGGTTGGGAAGACCCCTTGCCATTGCACTGACAACCTCCAGAGCTGGTGAGATCTCCACCCACGTGGCCCCTTCCAGTAGCCTGGATAAAGACACAAGCTGCTCTCCTCTCCTTCCTTCCTCACTGGAGCTGGAGGCTAGTGCCTGACTGGGTCCCTCTGCCTCGCCAGGCTGGCTGTGAGAGTTCTGCAAAATGGCCTTTCTGACGCCGAGCAGAGCAAGGGTCCCGACAGCAACACTGGGGGAGAGTACGGCCCTCCTGCCCAGCTACAGCATGGAGTACATTCACTCCCTCTCTCAGCAGGGAGGCTGTTCAACAGCTCCACTCTGTCTGCCTAGCACGGAGGGGGAGATTCTCGGCATGTTCTGAATATGCCCTGTCAAGTCTCCCGAGTACCAGCATATCCAAGTGCTACTAGGAAAAGCCAGAGGTCTCTCAAGTCAGCCAAAGCAAGCAGTGCAGTGGCTCGACTGCCAGCTGCAGCTGCCATACTGCTCCCTCAGCGCCGGCTGTGTTCTACTCATGACAAACATCTCCCTCAAACCACTTCCCTTCTTAGTCCTGCTTTCAGCTTCCCCAGCCACCTTCGCGTGGGGAGCCAGCCCTGGTGGGTGGTGGAGGCTGCCTGGTCCATCTTCTCGTGGGCATCCAGCCCTGGCGGGTGGTTGGGGGAGGAGACTGCTGGGGCCTTCACCACTTGGAATTCTAGTGGGGCTTGAAGTGGGGCACCTTCCAGGTCCCCGCTCACAAACATGGGCGTGAGGGCTCACCAACCCGAAATACGCTGCCTTTGCTTCCCTGCGCACCCAGGCTGCACTCTCCTGCTGCCTTGCACATTGCCCTCCAGGACTGAGGACACGCTGAGGCTACTGCGCCAGCCTGAGGCTAGGGGTACTTAGTGACAGTGTTCTGGGGAAGAGGTGCATGTGGGGGTATAACCCCCCCACTACCTGGATTTCCAGTAATTTGTCCCCTTGCCACTCTCCAGGCCCACTCCACTTCCTGGCCGTTACTGGAATCACTCTCCCACAAGACTTCATGGGCTTCCAGAGGATTACCCCACTGCCTGGGCTCCCCCACGCTCAGGAGAGAAGTGTGAGCGCCTGCTCACGGACTCTGGAAGGGAGGGGCTGGCGATCCCACCCCAGCTCGGTCCAGTGAGGGGAGGTTCATTAGGTTTCTTGGAGGACCATTATTTGATCTTCTTCCCAAGGCTCAACCTCTTGCCCTGGCATTTTGATCCCCTCGGTCACTATTTCTGAGTAGCTCGGGACATTGGTACGTTATTCCTACAGGTCCCTGGATAATCCCAGACCCTCTGCACCCGTGTGCCTGCCAGAGCAGACTCAGCCAGGGACCCCCTGGCAAACTCTGCCCTCACACAGCACTCTCTTGTCCGCAGCCGCTGGCTCCCGCTGACGTGCTGGAGAGGGCACTGCCAGTAAAGTGCTCTGCTGCCTTTAGGGGTAGGGAGCTCCTACAGCTTAGGGCAGAGTCCAGACAAGTTACTCTCTGAAACTGGAGTCAGGACTAAATATGTATCAATAACCCGGGGGAATCCTTACCACCATTCAGTGCTTGGACAGACAGTTTAAAGTCACCCCCGAAAGAGCTGACAGCCAGAAAAATTCGAAGTTACATTTAGCTACCCTGGCACAGCAAGATGAAGCAGCAAGGGCAGAGTTAAGTTTGTTTGAAGCACCTCAGGTCAATTTGTTTTTGAAAGTAGAATCTGGTCTTTGAATTTCCTGATTTTCAGGAGTTTGTGTCTTACAACGTTCTGTTAAGGATCCTTCCCTTACAAAGTGAAGCTCTGTTCTGAGAAGGGACTACACAAGAGTGACTCCGTATTGCACGGTTTGCTCCCCTTGGGTCTCAAGTGTCAAATCTGCTGACTTCAGCAGTACGTAAGTTTTCAGTGTGTTAGCTCTGTGGAGCCAACTCAGCAAGAGGGGGCTGGAGTCTGTTCCCTCCTGCGCATCAAGAGAATTGCTCACTAAATTCCAATTGGTTATACTTGTATAAAATCACCTCTGGTGTCTGGGTTGCACAGGTGTCACTGAAGGCAGAATCTGGCCTGTGGAATCCCTATTACTAATGATGTGCAAGACAGAGAACCCAGCTTGACTCTCAGGTCCCAGGGGAGTGCTGGCAGTCAGAAAAAGCATGCAATTTTCACTTGTAAATTGAGCACATTTGATAGGGAGCTAATGAGACGCAGACAAACATGGAGTGTCTTGCTGCCATATTTTTAGAGTGAGACTCTTTTACAACCTTAACCCCAGTTGAATCTACTTGTCCAAGAATTTATGTTCTTTTAAGACAATTACTTGCTTATGTAAAAGCAGCTCAGTGACTCCTTAATGTACATTATTGGCTTGGAAATTCGACTGTGGCCAAACCTAGGTTTGACATCTTTCTGTCAGAGCCTCACTTCCTCCCATCAAGCCAGGGTCCTGAGATATCTGTGGCAGGCTAGGATACTGAGAGGGATGTCTGCTGTTTCCATGCAAAGCTGCTCTCTGCTCCTCCAAGATGACAGGGGCAGATAATACATCACAACTTTGCTTCTGAAGAGACATTAACCTACCTTGAAACCCCCACCTTCCCCTGAGTTCAGTAACTATTAACCTTGTTTTACAGATATGGAAGGAGAGGCACAGAAGAGTTAAGAGACTTGCACAATGACCTTGCAGATTGGTGGATTAGTCATGTGAGTAGGAGTTAGGAAAATTGGGTTCTAACTGCAGCACCAATTCCATGCAGTATGTCTGTGCCTTGGGCTTTCTCCACTGTGAAAGGGTATTTGCTATCCCCTTGGGGAGAGTGCCATAAAAGTACAGACCAGGGCCATAGAGTGGGGTACGGAACTCCTGGCTCCTAACCCATTCCAGGAGAATGTTCTCCTTTTTCCCGTTCTTGGATCATGCCCACAAATGCAGTATCTCCTAGTGCTCAAAGAACCCCCCTAATTGACACTTTCCACATTTGTGCAGCCAGCACCACCGACGATTCAGCAACTGGTCTGAACACAAACAAGTTGGCAGGAGGAAGTGATGCCACAGGTGAAGCAGCTGCTGGAGGCAGCCACGTTAGTGTCAGCTCTGTTCGGCACATGGAGAAACTCTATTTGGCAAATGGGAGAGGAGAAAATTGCTTCAGAGACCCACTGTTCTTTCTAGCTCGGCAGAATTCTCCAGGCGATGGGGAGTCAGAAATTCAAAGCAGCGTAGGAAGAGAAGCGTGACAGGGCCCTTTCAAACCTTTCCAAGCAGATGCTCCAGATAAGAGGCTTCCCAAACAAATACTTATTACTGTACTGTTTAAGAAGATAAAACAAAGACAAAAGATGTTTCAGAGAACTGCATCTGTCACTGAGAGAGGGGCTGTTAACTGGATGCACAAGAGACACAGGCTGGATGAAGCTATCCAGAATGCTCATAACTACTCCCTCCCCCATGGGGGCTAGCCACATGCCTCCATCTCCACTCACCACGTCTATGCACCCACCCCTCAATGCTGTTCAGCACTGCTCCATGCACAACACACAAACACAAGCAAGCACCCCCGCTGCCGGCGACAGCACAGTCCGACTGCCAATGTAACATGGGCCTGATCTATTCAAGGATGGCCTCACCTACTGTTACGCAGAACCTGCTTTCCAAACGCATCTCCTCCCGAAGCTCTTTCAGGAGACCTCACTGTAGCACCAGATCTGTTGCTGAAGGAGTCCAGCCAGGTCACTGGCAACAAAAAATCCTTGCCAAAGCGCAAGACAGCCCCCAAGAAGCCAGCCAGAGAAACTGAAGAGATGAACATGAAAAGAACATCTTGCTCTCTTTGGAAGGAGGGGAGTCGAGAAGTGTGGTGCTTTGAGCTACTACCACAGACAGTCCACTAGGGGGCCTCTTGGAAGCCAAGGAGAAGGTCTGCCGGCAGGAGACAACAGTGCACTTCTTTCTATAACTTCAAACCGGTGTCCTGAATCACACCACACAACCCCGGCAGCCACAAGTCATGTGGGCCTATGGCACGTAACCACGGCCTGAGTTGTGGATGTGTACAGCCCAGTCACTTTTCCAGATACCCTCGGGGCCTCTTCCCAGGGGAAACAGCCTCCCCTCTTGAGAGCAAAACCAAACACACACATTTCAGTAAGAAGTTTCTGGAAACACTTGGTTCCTGTCAGGGCTGGGCTCTGGGGGGGTCCTGGCAGAGCAGGGTGCCAGGAAAGTCGCCATCGCATCACAGCTACGAGAGGGGGTGGGTTATGCGAGCTAAGTTGGTTGAACTGGGGAGACCTTTGCCTGCTCAGCTCATGTCGCTGCCTCTGCAGGCTGCTCTGATCTTTCTAGTCTCCCCTGCTTTGACTCCGGCCTGACACGCTCTCCAGCCTCCCTCTCCACCGTAAATCCAGTTATACCCTCCAGCTCTCACTCCCCTTCTCCCTCTGTGCTCAGGCACCGGAGAGCAGCCCTACTCTGCCTTTTAGCACTTGAGGGTGGTCTCCTTGTATTCCATCCCACTCCACTCCTGTCCTGTCTTTTGCATACAAAGCATTCTGGGTATTGCCCTTACAGAGAAAGCCAGGCTTCAGCAGCCACTTGGGAGCAGGCTGAATGCTGCTTTCTGGAGCCTGGCAGCGAGGCCAAGGGGCCATTTTGCGTCACCCTACTGGAGAGGAACTGCAGAGACCTGTGACTGCTGATGGGCGATTACCACAGTCAGTGGGAGGAGACGTTACATGGCCAGCGAAGCATGGCATGTGTCAGGCATGGGTGCTGTCAGCAGGCCAGCACCCCAAAGCATCGGGAAACTTCTATGGCTCCACATAGACAAAGCTGAATGAGAGATGTTGGCCCTGGCGCGGGCTCCTCTCTCCCCCGAGGTGGGGCGGGGTAGAAGAAAAACAGGTGCATCTCACATTGCTCTTCTCCTGATCCTAGGCAGACACAGGTTAGGAGGGGAAGTAGGTAAATATCCACTCTTCCTCCCTGTCTCTAGGAGAAGAGGGCAGTCCCCCATCCGCCATCCCTGGGGCTGTTCCCACCGCACATTTCCATGATCAGAGGGCCCCAGGTTTCATGCCTACATTTTGTGGTGCATCAGCCCTCTTGTCCCAGGGGAGGCTACGGAGTATTTCTAAACCATTTTGAGGTGGGGACCAAGCTGCCTTAGGCCCCAGACTGAGGCATAATCATCTTGCCAGCTTCCCTTCACTGTGACCATGGAAACTTCGGGCTCCACCATTCCATCTTGCCCTTAAAAGGGACACTGTCATAGCATTTTTTTCTCTGGAATTAGACAGTCATTTCCCCTTTGCACACACGCAAGCTAAGGCTGCAGGAGCAAATCACTCCAGTGCCTGCATTCTGCAGGACCACTTTCCACCCCTCATTTCCACCAGTACCATATCTAACAAGCTCTACTGCAGTGAGCATGTCCAGACAGCCTGCCTTGCAGTCTGTTCTACCGCACAATTGCTTTTGCTGCTAGTGGCTGTCTTCGAGACACCCCAGAATTTCCCTTCCTTTGCTGTAGGCCATTGCTCCTTCTCCTGCTGTCTTCCAGCTCAACTCCAGTTTCACTAGCCTGCCAATTCTCAAGTCTATAGGGATAGTTTCAAGACCCTGGGCTCCTAAACCTGACATGCAATTGTATTGGAAACTGCTGGGCCTGGAATGAGAAGCATATCTTCAGAGGGCAAGAGCCAGCACGCTGACCGATGGCTGCCTCATCCCTTCGACGTGTGACAAATTGAGGCAAACAACTAAAGTCTTCAGAGAACCCCTCTATGTACAAGGCCAGTCCCACTGGGCAACGCCAGACAGCAAACCCACAACTAAGCAACACAGTCAAGATGGAAGGACCTGGGTAGTTATAGGCCTGTCGGCCTGACGTTGGTCCCAGACAAGAGTGCGGAGTGGCTGATATTGGACTTGACTTATAAAGAATTAAAGGAGGGTAATGGATTTATGTGAAATAGAACCTGCCAAAAATCTCTTTTTTTTATAAGATTACAAGTTTGACTGATAAAGGTAATAGTGTTGATGTAATATACTTAGACTTCACAACATTTTGATTAAAAAAAACTAGAATATGAAATTAAGATGGCACACATTAAATGGATTAAAAACTGGCTAACTGACAGGTCTCAGTATGTAATTGTAAATGTGGAATTGTCACTGAGTGGGTGCATTTCCAGTGGGGTCCCACAGGGATCAGTTCTTGGCCCTATGCTATTTCATATTTGTATCAATGTCTTGCAAGAAAACATAAAACTGTCAATGATAAAGTTTGCAGATGACACAGAAACTGGGGAACTGGTAAATACTGAAGATGCCAGGTCACTGATTCAGAGCGATCCGGATTGTTTGGTAAACTAGGTGCAAGCAAACAATATGCATTTTAATACAGCAAAATGTAAATGTATACATCTAGGAATAAAGAATGCAGGCCATACTTACAGGGTGGTGGACTCTATCTTGAGAGGCAATGACTCTGATAAACATTTGTGGGTCATGGCGGATAGTTAGCTGAACCTCAGCTCCCAGTGTGACGCTGCAGCCAGTGGGATTCAGGGATGCATAAACAGGGGAATCTTGAGTAGGTAGAGATTATTTTACCTCTGGATTTGGTACTGGTGAGACTGCTGCTGGAATACTGTGTCCAGTTCTTGTGCCCCCAATTCAAGAAGGATGTTTATAAACTGGAGAGGACTCAGAGAAGACCCGTGAGAGTGATTAGAAAACCTGCCTGACAGTGATAGACTCCAAGAGCTCACTCTCTTTAGCTTAACAAAGAGAACGTTAAGGGGTGACTTGATAACAGTCTATAAGTACCTACATGGGGAATAAATATTTAATAATGGGCTCTTCAGTCTAGCAGAGAAAAGTCTAACACGATCCAATGGCTGGAAGTTGAAGCTAGACAAATTCAGACTAGAAATAAGGTGTAAATTTTTAACTGTGAGAATAATTAACCATTGTAACAATTTATTAAGTTTTGTCGTGGATTCTCCATTACTGACAATTCTGAAATCAAGACTGGATCTCTTTCTAAAAGCTCTGCTCTCGGAATTATTTTGGGGCAGGCCTCTGGCCTGGGTTATACAGGAGGCCAAGCCAGATGATCATAATTGTCCCTTCTGGCCTTAGAATCTATGAATTTCCTTTCCAATAAGATGTGTCTAGGGATCCAGCTAGCAAATGGATCCTATGAAGATCAGGAAGTCAGATTCTCATGGGTAAACTGACCCACCGGAGTACAGGTGCTGGGCCTTTGTGGAAAGAAGAATATGCATAACCCAAGCATCATTTGGCTCCCGAAGTAAGGGACTCTCTAAGTCACTTCTGCTTCAAACTGTTTCCCTAAGTAACTAGCTGGAAGCCCTTCAAGGGCTGTACAGAATCAGAACCAGAGTCTCTCAAACTTTCCTTGAAGTTCTCCACACCTACATATTGACTGTTTCCATTGGAACTATTCCTCTACAAAGTCCCTCAGCACAATAAGCAAACAACAAGGAACCACAGAGAAGGCATTAGAACCTACTTTAAATAGGTATTTTCCTTCCTCTCTCATATTGGGCCTAGAACATAGCAAAGGAGCCAATTAGTCCCATGGCTCATTTGTAGTGGGCTGGCTTTCTTTTAGTGACACTGTCGCTTGCAGTGTAGTGCCTGTTACTCCTCTTTCTTTTAGCCTTTATGTCTCAGGAGTTTGTCCACAACTCTAGTTCCTGTTTAAAAACCCAAAAGGGCTCTTCTACACAAAAATTGCACTGGTTTAACTAAGGCAGTATAAAGACCCACCTTAGTTATATCAGTACAACTTTGTGTTTAGACTAGGCCAAATCTCAATTTAAAAACGTCTGCGACTCATCCCCTCTGCAATTGTTTTGTCTGCAACACTGCAAGATCCCTCCTAACCCCAGGGGTCTTAAAAATTAATCTTGTTTTTATTTAAAATATACCCAAGGATAATAGCAACTTCAGGGAGGAAAGCTTCCTGGAGCAAGAACAAGACAGCCCATGCAGGTTGGCAGATAAAACAGAAATTAGGGGAGATAAACTTCTGCATTTCCCACTACAGAGAATCCGAGTCATTGAGATGTTCAATAAAGACAAAGACATAGCAAGTGTCTTGCAGAGAAGAAGCCATTTGGATTTTTAAACAAATCTACTCTGGGTGTGTTGGTGCCTCTGATGTTCTTGTTTTGTGACTATTGTAGTGAGCACGGGGCCATTTCTGTGACTCTAGTGCCACCAGACCTTATTGCCAGAAACATGCCAACAAACTGGAGGGAGCTCCAAAGAGTCACGAAAATTAGCAGAAGGGTGGATGGCTCGAGGAACGATTAAGAGTAATTTGGCTTAGAATTAAACAGAAAACTCAGTCTGAAAGACACCCCGACAGTGAGCTTAGTTAGGCTGTGGAACAGTTCGCCTAGGGCAGGGGAAGCAAACCAGGCTGCCAGAACTTTTAAAAAGACTGGGCCAAACACTAGTAAGCGTACAATGGAAAGCATTGGCTGGGATTAGATGGGACCTAGGATTGTTTTTGGTTTAATTGTTCTGCTTTCCTTGACTCGGACACCTTCTCTAGTCACTGCCCTATCTCCATCCTCCCCACTCTGCAAAATGCTGGAGAAAGTTGTCTTTTCTAATCTCCCACATGACCTCGCACACAACAACCTGCACCAGTGCCAGGTTGGTTTTCACTCTGGCCATAGCACAAAAGCTGCCCTCTGTTTAGCCAATGGCCTGTGTATCACAGACTATGGCTCCATCTGCCTGATATAGCCTCATCTACACAACCGCTCTCTCATCCTCGTGGACTACAGCTAGGGTGACCAGATCACCAAAGACAAATATCGGGACGGCGGGGGGGGGGGGGGTGACGGTGGGGGGGGGAGGCGGTGGGCGGGGGGCGGGGACCAAAAAAAAAAAAACC